AACCATTATAAGGTAATATTTTAAAAACCTATATGCTACTAAATCTGAAAGTCTAAAAGAAATGGATGGATATCTGAAATCATGGGGACCTCCAAATATAAACCAAGAAGAGATCAACAGCTTAAACAGACTCATAACATATAAGGAAATTGAAATAATAATATAAAACCTCCCAACTAAAAAAAGCCCAGGCCCAGATGGATTTACAGCAGAACTTTACCAGACATTTAAAGATCTACAACCAATACTATTTAAATTATTCAAAAAGATAGAAACAGGGAGAATGCCCAAACTCCTCTGTGAAGCCATCATCAATCACTCTAATACTAAAACCAGGTAAAGATACAACCAAAAAACTATGCACCTATATCCGTAATAAACATAGATGCAAAAATACTCAACAAAATACTGGCAAACCACATGTAGACATACATGAAAAAGATCATCCACCATGATCAAGTAGGCTTTCTTCCAGAGATGCAGGGACAGTTCAATGACTCAGGACACCGAATTTAAAAGAACAGTCATAAACATGATCAAGGAATTCAATGAATTTAAAGAACACACAAACAAATCAAAGAACTAAAAGAAGATAGGGATAAACTTCTAAATGAATTCACAAAAGAGATAGAAACATTGAAGAAAACTCAGGCTGAAATGAAGAAGGAAGTGAAAAACTCAATAAGCCAACTTGAAACAACAGGGGAAAGCCTCACCACTGGAATGAATGAAATGGAAAACAGAATATCAACACTGGAGAATAAAGCTGAAGAATTGGACCACTCAAGCAAAGACTATGAAAAAAAAAAACACAGGAATGGAATATGCAGGAGATGTGTGGGGCACCATGAAAAGACCAAATCTATGTATCATAGGCATAGAGGAAGGAGAAGAATCTCAGGTTAATGGTATTGACCAGATCTTAAACTGGAAATGTCCTCTGACCACTATGCTACAAACTAGTCACACCTCCTACCTCCTTCCCACTCTCATCAAGGAGTTGAGGGGGGAGTCAGTTACACCCTCCCACCCAATCCATCACCTTAGCTGCATGTGGGGGGAGGTGAAAAGGATATATAAGCTGAGAACACCAAGAGGAACCTCTCTCACAATTTTGTGTGGCTGTCAGATCACAGGATCTGTATTTGTGTGGACTTTACAGTGCAGCTGTAAATGTGGGGTGCCCACTCATCTGCAAATAAACCAATACCCCATGCTCTGATAAAATAAAATGATAATAAATAAATAAATAAATAATATTTTTTTTTAAAGAAAAATATTACAAAAAAAAAAAAAAGCTGGGTGTGGTGGTGTTCACCTGTAACCTCAGCATTGGGAAGGTGAAGAGAGGAGGAACCCTAGAATTTACTGGCCAGCAATTCTTTCTGAACTGGTAAGCTCCAGGTTCAGGGAGAGGGCCTGTCTCAAAAAAATAAGTTCAAGATCAGCAAAGACACTGTACAGTAACTTCTAGCCTCCACATGTAGATATGTGTACACAGTGGAAGAACACTCATATACTATATTTAGGAACACATACATACACAAACACCACACACACACACACACACACACACACACACACAAACATCTTCTCCCTCATTTTACTAAGATGCTCAGAAATCAAACATTAGTGAGTTCTGCCTTTGTGCTGAAGTAAATAGTTCCCCATGAATCATCCTTTAAAATTTGAGTGTCTCCTACAGTATGAGCTCCATATAATTATGATACATTCATAGGGTAGAATGTTATGGAGCCATAATAGACATCTATGGGTTCTGAATTTCCTGAAATAGCAAGATATTTGTGTTTTTTTTTTGTTCAGTACCAAAAATAATGTATAAGAGAAATGTAAGGAACATAGTACTTACCAAAATAATAACTGTGGCTACCTACCTAAGGATATATAGGAGTATTATTTTACCTTTATATAGTTATATATTGTTTATTTTCTTGAATATATATATAACTTTCCTTTAGAATAAGAAATATAGTAAGGCTATTTCCATGTTGATTAAAAGAAAACTGAAAATATTCCAGAAAGTCATTAAGAGTTCAACACCTTAATAAAATTTGCAAAACATCCTAAAGAATGAGACCCAGATTCTACAAATTTCCAAATGGGAAGAAAAAAGGTAGACTAGGCAAGAGCTCCAGTCAAGTATTATGTAGACCAGGGATAGATCTCTATAGGCTGAGCAGATTTTACTAGATAAAAAATAAGCAGCAGAAGGTATTGCCTGTTTTCAGATACAAGAAGTGTGAAGGCTTACTACATCTGGATGGACTCACAGTAGATACCAAAATTCCTGTTTTCATTATTATAAAGAAATAACTTCTTAGAAATGAAATTCACTTATCTTTCAAGAACAGACCTAGGACCCAATGGACATTAATTTTTAAAATATATACATCTATAAAACAGGTTGAAAGGTTTAAATGACAAAAAGGCTTAAATGACTCACAAAGACAGCAAAGGAGACCAGTATGCATTAAACTACTCACCTCTGTGGGTAGACATGTCTGTGCACTAGCAGGTGTTCCCAGATGTGAAGCCATAGTCCCAGTTTTTATTTGAAACTGTGTTTTATACATGTAGCCATCAGAACAGTCCTGTGTTCCATCAACAAAAAGTACATAAGAAAATTTCAATTAATTTAAGAATGCACCACTCTAAAAAACTATCATTTATCTTAAGTTCAAAGTCATGCAAAGGTGCATTAAAGGAGATGAGATAATATGGATAACAGACTAATCTTATCTACCCTGTAGCACTCAATAAATATAAGTCCTATTACCTAATTTTCTCATTTATTAATGTTTCCTCTTCTAAATTAAATCTCTACTACTTTTTCCCCTGTATTAACATACATCACTGAGGTCAGACAGCAAAACTTCAGGATGGCAAACATTTAAAACATTTAGGCTTACAGAAATATCTTGTCATATGAGCAATATTTATATTTATGCTTATATAGAGAGATTTTAGGGAAATTTGCAACAAGCCTGAAAGCTGGCAAGAACATTTTATTTTGTCTTCAAGGAAAGATCTCTGTTAAATGTCCTAGAGAGGTAACAGCACAGCTTTTGCCTGAGCATTCTGAGGAACCTTACATGACAGCTAGGAGCATTTTGTGCAGTATTCATTAAAGAAGTTTTGCCTTACAGTGCATCATTTCCCTTAACTAGTTCTGCCTTCAAAAGTAAAATTCCTTTTCCACAGAAATAGTCTACAAAGAGTTAAAAATAATATACACCATTTTCACGTCTTACAAGATATAGTTAGCAAGTCTCTCAATAGCTGTACCTCATCTTTTTAAGATTTATTTTATTTATGTGTATGTGTATGCCTCTATGTGCTTGTGTAAAAGTGTGGTCACCGCCAGCGGCGGCCGCTCCTCCATTCTCGTGGGTGCCGCTCCTTCATTCTCACAGGCATCGAGGCTGCTCCTCCACTCGCCCAGGGCTAAGGCTGCTCTTCTGCTGGCCCTGGGCTGAGGCCGCTCTTCTGATCACCCAGTGCTGAGGCAGCTCTTCTGCTCGCCCGGTTCTGAGGCAGCTCTTCTGCTCACCTGGCGCTGCCTCCAATCGTCACTGCTTCTGCCCGGTCTGGACCCCAGGGCTGGTGAGGAGACTGTGTCAGCAGAGCCACATTCAGACACAGGAAACCAGGTTCAGTGACACAGGTCTGGTTTATTGCAGGAAGGCACAAGCTTATATAGGGGTAGTGGTCAAATCAGAGCACAGAGAGTAGGATACTTTATTAGCATAACAGGTTTAGCTTCCTATCACAGTACAGCAAGTGGGATACCTTATTAGCATAACAGACTTAGCATCCTATTAGCATAACAGACTTAATGTCCTATCACAGAATAGCAAGTAGGATGCCTCATTAGCATACTGGGTTTCAGATTACAGAGCCTGGACTCCTGGAAACCACATGACCCTTACTGTTGCAATATCTAAGTGTTGCAATTTGGAATTCCAAGGGTGGTGACTAGGGAGTCATGAGCTCTAGGCATCAGTCTCATGATCTGCCAATGGGAGCAAATGTCACAAGGCATTCCTTGTGGCTCCAGCGGTCAGGCCGTTGCCTCAGGCCTGCTGTATGGCTGTCAATAAGACTTTCACCCTAGGCTCAAACCTGTCTCCCACATGTAAGTATATGTGAATATGTGAATGCAGTTCCCATAGAGACCAGAAGAGGGTGTTATGTCCTTAGGAACTAGAAATACAGGCATATGTGAGCCTTTCAACATTGTTGCTAATAACCAACCTCAGATCCTCATGGTTGAGCAGAAAGTGTTCTTAACTATGGAGCCACTCTCCAACTTCACTAATTGGATTTCTTTCCTGTTTTCTTCTACTTACCACCAAGTATATTAATGTATGATGTTCATTTAACTAAAATCAGTTCTATTTTTAGGCACAATTTGCTTGTATTCCATAGTTATATGGAAGAATGTAGTATCTCTCCATGTACAAGCATGCTTGTATGCCAAGAAATATTGATCCTCTACCAAATTAGCATTTACATTTTAACAGAATTAAGACAATAATTAAGGAATACATGGTTGCTTAATCTTTTTATAAGAGAGAAATTTAAATACAGACAGAGTTCCGAGAAAGCCATATGAAAATGGAGATTAGAGTGGTGCAGCTACAAGGCAAGAAATGCCAAGGATTCCTGGCAATCACTAGAAAGAGGGAAAAGATTCTTCTCTAGAGCCTGAGAAGGAGCACAACTCAATACCTTGATTTCAAGTCTCTAACCTCTAGAATAGGGAGAGAATAAAATGTTACTTTAATTTAGTTACTGTTCAGTACTTTATTATGGCACTTTTGGGGGAAAATACAATTACTATATTTTTAAAGAGACTTAAGAGGCTGGGGTATAACTAACTCAGTGACAAAGCATCTGCCTAGCACACATAAAGTCCCAAATTTGATCAACAGTACTCCATTTTTCAAATTTATAAAGAATGAGACAGTGATATCTTAACAATATCTTGTAGGAAGATGAGCTGACAACCTGTCAGCACTTACTTGGAAGCCCGTTGCTCACAGGTCAGTTCTGAATGGATGGATCCAATTTGTTCTGACTAGCTGATACCACTATCACAGGTTATTAAATATGATGAATATCATTCCTGACCAAAGTGTAAATGACCAAATATCTAAATTATTACTTTTTATCATTCCATTAATATTATACATTAGAATAATTGCTAGAATTTGCTTTTAATTATAGCTATATGCGATCCAATCTTTACCACCTAAATCCTTCTATTTGGACAACATAAATTCAGGTGACCTAGCTCAGTGGTACATCTCTTGCCCAGCATGTAAAAAGCCCTACTTCAGTGCTCAGCACTGGGAATATAACAGATTTAATATTTTCTTATATGTAGGGAGATACATGCATGACTACTGTCACCATGGCTACTTGGATTTACAGCAAACATCCATTCTTCCTTCTGCTGGAACAGTACCCAATTTTCTTCAAACATATTCCTTTCCCCACAGGCATTGTTTACATGCCTCTCATCTCACCTCCAGGGACAAATACATCACCTTGATCTGGTCAATGAAGACCTCAGTCTTGCTGGTCTTAGGGACCTAGAAGAACATGTGATTGCCCATCAGCTCCAATTGAGATACAATTTAGGATTTGGTCTGTGTGAATGTACATGTCTGGGGTTGACAGAAGATCTCCTCTTTTCTACTAAATCCAAACAGTAGCCATCCAGCAGCCATCATGTAATTAAGTAAAGCCTGAAGATGACACTAACTGACGAAGGATGCATGTGTGGACACAGGCAAGTGAATAAGCATTAGAATTATTATCCTAGAGCTCTACAGTCCATCTAGCCCAGTAAAAAATATTTAACTCAAATCTCTCCTTTGGAATGATGTTTTCTCTGACTGTTCCAATCAACATTCTCTAACTTTGCTACCTACATTTATACTTAACATGATTCACAATTTAACATTTAATTATTATTTCATTATTAAACATGTGGTAGCTTTATTTCTCCCATTAGATTATAAATTCAGGGCTTAGTTCCCAGATTATAAGGGAAACCAGTGTCTAAATGCAGAATCCAGACTACCATGTAATACCCACATCCAGACAGCCTGAAAACATCTTCAACATGAGAGGATGTAAAAAACAAGAAAATTGTACAATGTAACCAGTTCAGCCCTCTCTTTTAGAGATAAGAAAACAAAGGGCCAAAGGACATCCAAGAAACTTGTTTTTCAACTACTTAAGGGCAGAGCTAAAAGTAGAATGTAGGCCCTGGACCCACATATTCTTTCTGGTACACTAAGAAAAATCTGCCAGAGAGTAAGACCCTGTCAGGAACATGCCCACTGACTCTCATAGGCCAGTCCAGGCCAATGTTTTGCACTCTAGACTACCAACTCAAGACACTCAAGAGTGGTCTAGGAACCACCAGCATCCTAATCATTACCTGAATGCTTATTGGACATGTAGAACCTCCAGCCCGACCCCAGACAACCTGAATACATATTCATCAAGATCCGGAGATAAGAGGCATGTGTGCTTGGAGGCACTGAGGCAGAGCTTTGATGCAAAGGGATTGCAAACAAATTGCAATGGCAATGATTCACTCAAGCATAGCTGCACATGAGAATACAACCTGAAGAGTTTTCCAAATGCTGTTGCTGGGTCTCATCATAGACCAATTAAGCCAGAATACACCCAACAGTTTCTGTGACCACAACAGGGCTGAAAACCACTTGTTCAGCCTATTGAACTCATAAGAGTCAAGGAAGTAATCTACAGCTGCCTCAGGAGAAAAGGGACAAGACAAGACTTTCAGGCAGACCACAATTCAGCTGGACATCACCAAACACTAGAAATCAGTTCTACTGGTGTTCAATGTGGAGATTTTACTGAACTGAGATATTAAGTGATCTTTACTGTTACCACAAACCCTCCTTTCCAGCAATTTATCCAGCCCTGACTTAGACCTCTGAAATTGGCATTTATCTTACAATTTGAAATTGTGCCATATCTAACTAACCTCTGCTAGCAGGATTTCTTGCTACCAAGTGCCACAAAGCATATTACTTTAAAATAATCAAACTAATTACTCTGCAACTGCAGAAGAAAATTTAATAGGAAATATCCAGCTGTCATAACTTAAGTACCATGAATAAGAACCTGAAATATTTCCTCATAACCAATATTTCTAGTTATCTAATAAAAATGCCCAACACTGACTTAAATGAAAAAAATCACAAATATACAACACTAAAATATATGTTTAATATATCTTTTTAAATATGATAAAAAGCTGAGGATGTAGCTCACTTGGTAGCATACTTGTCTAGAATGTACAAGGCCCTGGGTTCCCATCGCTAACATTGCATAAAGCAAGCATGGTGGTAAACACCTGTAATATCAGTACACAGAAGGTGGACAAAGAAGGATGAGAAGATCAAGCTTATCCTCAACTACATAGCTAGTATGAGGTCAGCCTTGGCTACATTAGACACTGTCTCAAAAAGGAACAGAAAAAAGGTAAAAATCTAGAAAACCACTCTCTCTGACACGCAGAACTCTCTCACTGGGACCAACCCAA